GTGCATTCTTTAGAAGTACTGTTTACTCAGCTGTTTACTAACTTCATTTAAACAGTTTCCACAGTACTTCTCATAAAGTGCACCCATAATGAATACCTTTTTCTCCCTCGCTGAATATCATTGATTGCTTTTCTGCATATTCATGGTTTTGTTGTTTCTCCTTCTAGCCATAAACCTCGTCTCTCTCACATGAACAGGCTCTTACTTGAATCAGAAATCTAGAGCCCCTTAAGCCAGTTTACATCTTTGTATTTCATTACCTAACAATGCCCGAGTTAAGCTCAGATTACTCACGGAGGGCTAGACTGAGATAAATATGGTTTGCAATAAACGGCGTCAGTAAAGGCCGTTTATAGCACTGGCACATTTTTCTCTGTTATTTTATGTCTGCAGGATTATTATTCTATCAGGTTTGGATGTTACGGTTGTAAAGTGTATGCAAACGGGGCACATGTATAAGACCTTTATTGTTAACTTGTTTACTCTGGGCTTTCACACTTCAGTGCTGACAGCAAACACTACTTAACCACATCATTTGGCATCCTGTATGTTTACACAAAGGACACTAGAACTCACCACCAGTCAGTGATGAAGATTTCCTCTTTAGCCTCCTCCAAAGCATCGGCCACATCCTCCATGTAGGTCTTTCCATTCACATACCTGCAAAGATATATTGCAGTCACACTTGGGAGAACATTTTGTCACTTGAGCTTGGGATGATACAAACATACATATGAAAAAATAAAATAGCTCACGTTGTGTGGTATTTAAAAAAAACAAACAAACACACACACAAGCTGAATGATGGCGCCTTTCAGTTCATTGGCCCGACTGTCACTGCACTTTAACAGCCTTACAAACTTAAGTCTACACCCATAGACATGTCACCATGACGTAACCGTCTTTAAACATTCTCAGCTTTCACCTCCCAACACGTCTTATCCTTCCGACTCCATGCTGAGTACATAGACAATGTAACGACTTTATTACACTGATGATTCAGTCTCGCAGAAAGTGCCAGCTGAGGGGGAGAGAATGCAGATAAAGAACAGCACAGCCAGAAGAGAGAGAGTCCAATACATTTCCATAGTTACCAGTGAAACACTAACAAATAGAATATGTCCTGAAGATTTGCCCAATTTGAGTTTTTCTTTTTGATTTACTGCATCTTTCCCCAGAATGTGTAGGTTTCTTGTAATAAGAAGCCATAAATCATTTTTCTAAATAACACATTTGGTTACAGTTGTATTTTTCCAAATCCAATAAGTATAATAGATACAACACATCTTAAATGTATAACATTGCATTTGTCCGTTCCACAGAAACAAATGTTTCAGTCTGAAACTGATGCAAACATTGTTGGAATTAAGCATTTCTAATCCCACACAAACTTCCCGACAAAACAAGCGCAGCCAGCTGTGTTCTCTCCCAGTGTAGTTACCATTTGGCAGGGATGTTTTCCTGTTCTTGTGCAAAAGATCCAAAGCGGTGATCTCGGAGGAAAGCCTTCCCATGATTCCTCACGAAGCTTTCAATGCTCTGACCCCACCAGCGTGCGTGTCTGTAACTGCTGCACTTAAACACGAGGGTCCTGCCGGTGGGATATTTATAGATACAAACATAACCAGAGGAAAACAAGATTATACATATAGTCTAAAGCCTACGTGAGAGCGAGGTAGTCGTATCGTTTCATATGTATATAAATGCACATTAGCTGATCAAGGCAGAGGTATCTGTTGTCTTTCTGAGACATAGGAGACCTAGTCAGTAATTCCTAAAATAAAAGCAGCACTGATTAAGAGTCTTGGATTTGTGGTTTTTGGGCCCACCCATGATTGTTTTGGTTAATATTTTTCTTTTTGCTAAGATCTGATGAAGAGTTCATCTTCTGGTCCAGGTATTATTCATCACACTGATTTTATCTTGAGAACGTCTCAGAGGGGATTCACTGTTTAACTTGTATCTAGATAGTTAAGCACTAGTATATGATCACTCTCTGGGTAATCTGCTGCAAAGATCAACTGTTCCACCATGACAAACACAAAAACACACACACACACCTGGAGAGGCTATCAATCCGGACTCCGTGTTTGGTCTCCGTGTCTTTGGAGTCCATCTTGATGGTGAACTCTTTATCCACCAGCAAGACGAAGGAGATGGCTCCCGTGTCTGGCTTCATGTACAGCAAGAATGAGTCTTTCACCACAAGCCAGCTACAACACACACAAAGTGGTCGTCGCAACATTAATGACGTCTGTGTAGATGTAAAGTTTTGCAGCTTTCTGCTGACTGCTGTGGACCATTTCTTATGTTTCTCGTTTGGAGGAAAGGGTGTAGGAAGAAAATCATCATGAGGATGTAGGTGGACGGGCTGAGCGTTTCAAACGTGTGGGATTATTTTTGTGTTGTGTTTAAAGAAATAATAACAACATAAACTGATCACATCGTAATTTGGATGATGTAAAGTGGAAGAGAAAGACAAAGTCAGATGTGAGTGAATACCACTGCCGTCCGACTGAGACTTTCTTATAAATATAGAAAAAATGAAAAATGTTGCATGACAGCAAAAATGACCGCCTATTAAGATGTCACAATTATTATGTTTGTAAATGTGTAATGCACAGTTGTGTAATAGATGTTCACTATTCTTTGACACCCACACTCTGACAGCTCCCTGCCAGAAATTTGAGAATGAATGTTCAAGAAATCCTCCTTCTTGTGTTTACCATAAGACATTCAGGAGTTGATCAACAGCCTGAGCAACTCCTACATGTCACCATGTTTCTCGCCTTCCAAAATAAACTGCACAGTATATTTAAACTGCTGGCTTAAGACAGCTTAATTACAAGAAAAAAACAACTAGTTAACACTGCAGCTAAAGCAGTGGGATTGACTAGAAGATGCACAGAGAGAAATAAATTGGACAGACAGAGATAGCTGGAGAAAAACTGCAACATTCACACACCGTTTGGACCAGCGATAGCAGGCCTGGCTCTGACCACAGCAGTTCATTCCAGGGATACGATGTCCGCCTGAGCGTTTATAAATCATCCCTTCCCTGGAGGAGGGAGAATAACTGGTGAATATTTTCCAAAAACTGTATCATGAGGCTTAAGAAGAGTGTAAAAGAAGATTGCAAGTTTAAAATAAATACACCTAAGGAAAGAACAACTTTGACATGGGATATGTGACCCTGATCCCCAGAGATATAGGCACTAAGAAAATGCTCACAGTCCTTTGGGCCCTAAGTCATGAATGAAACTCATCTGGCTGACGTCAATGAACTCCATCTGTGTAAAGAGGGCAAGCACAAACAAGAGACTTCACATAATGATTCTTGTATAGACAGACACACCACTCATTGTGTAATATATCATCATGGGAACTAGAAACCGTTAGTCCACATACGTAGAGTTAATATGACTCATCTTAAATTGTGTGTTGTCATCTCTCATAATAACTTTAAATGCATAACAGCAAGTTTTCTGCCTAAAATATGTTTTAAGTATGAAGGAGTTATTTAAGAAGAGGCACAGCATAAAGACAATTTCCCTTCACTTTATAAGAAAAAAGCAAAACAGAACAACTTGAGGCTTTGCCAAATTCCACAATAAAGGTAGTGAATTAAAACATGTAGAAAAAGACTAATAATTATTTGCTTTTATTGTACATTATCTATAGTGGCTAATAGAAATGAGGCATAAACACAAGTGGTATAACACTATGTTTAAGTGTGACCCTTTGGAGTGTTTTGTATTTACTCACAGTATGGTGATATTTTCGGTACATGGCCATCCTCAGCAGCTTGTTCAAATAGTCTTCTAGCTGTCTCTGTGGGAACACAAACACTATATTTGGACACTGACAAAGCCCATGCATATAAACACCGAGATGTGCAAAACAATGTGAAACAGTAGTTCAGAGGATAGATTTGCTGGCAAGGAGTTAAGTGCCATGGCAACAAGTGAGTGCCAGGAGAGCTCCCTGCAATAAAGTTGAAATATCACAAGAATCAATTTCATGGCCCTGAAAACAAGGCCAAAGAGGACAAAGACAGCGCTCCAACATACCTTCCTGCTGGAGACCTGCTCATCTCGCACTAGCTCCTCTCCTCCTCCCCTTGGCAGGGAGGGCATCTCTCTCACTTCACTCTTCCTCACCGTCTTTCTCCTCACTGTGTGGCTGTAAAACAGAATGTGGGAAATGTAATACTTTAAAGACAGAATATCCTTGGTCCTTAAAGTATAAGATAGAAGAAAGAACAAAGGTCCAGAGCTTTAAAAACACTGTTTAAGTGGCGGATCAGAAATAAAAAATCTGTATATTTCACAGGTGTGTCAGACTTCAGAGAATGCCAAAGGGAGTAAAAGTGTTCACTGAATTTTAAGCCTATTGTTTACTTCAAAAAAGAATCTATGATTATAATAGACTGCACCAAAAACGTGAATGTGAAAAGTTCATAAATTTCAGTTGCACTGAAGGACAGTATGTCAACACTTAGCATTCAAGCTAAAAAAAAAACAAAACATCTCCCTGCTGGCAATAAATTTGTTGTTTTTACATCTGTGCTTATGAGAAGAAAAGTGCTGATTATATCATCTACATAAAGTAAATACAATACTCTCTTGATCTATTAAATATACTAGTATGACAATTGTGTCTATGCATTTGGGTAAGTATACTTTTGTCACATCATGGACATATATCTCCCATTTAAGGACAAAAAGCTTAAGGTAAAACAAGCACTTAGGTCCATGTGAGACTGCAAATTTATCTTTTACTGTATAGATTGCGTGCCAACCTGCGTGATGGCAGTGGTATCCTCATGAAGGTTTTGTACGTCCTCAGCTCTCTGTGCAGCTCCATGAAATGCTTCTCCTTCCTCTTAACCACCCAGGTAAATTCCCCATGTTTCAGCTCAATCTTAAAAACTGCTGGCAGAGACTACAGAAACATGCACATGCTTAACACCTGTAATCATGGTAATGTCATCAATAACATTAAAAATGTTCAACATTTAATAAAAAAGAAAAACAATCGATACAATGGAAAATGGAAAAATCTGTGGCATAAGTAAACAGCAAGCGCAACAATCAGGACCATATAGTTTATAGAGAGGTGTGTGCAGTACCTTGTTGACACTCCTTTGGTGTGACGCATTGAAGCGGTCCTGTGCAGTGGTGAACCTCTCCACCTCCAGGATTCGGGCAATAATGGGTACAGTGGGGAGGTACACTTTTGCATTGGCTTCTTTAAAGCCCACTGTGGCATACACTGCTGAAAATGGGATACGACAGTCCCCTGGGACAGAGACGAGGCGGGTGTTTAGTGTGATCTTTCTGCTTGTACATGTAGGAGTTGCTCAGGCTGTAGGAGCGAGTAGGATGCATCAGTGAAAACTCAGCCTTTGTTCAAGACCGTTGTAGTTCGCGAGTTTGCAGTGTTAGGGCAAATGTTACCGTATATTTTCTGGTAAAGTTTGCAAGACTTCAAAAGTGCAACCATCCACCCTCATGTGCTGGCACCGTTAGATAGTGGTTTGGAGCCTCCATGTAGTAAGTTGCTTTTTTGACTAATTGAATTATGTTAATACAATGTGATCCCACTTTGAATTAGTTTGACGGTCATTAAATTAGTAGAGGTCTTGAGAACAGGATCGTTACAGACTTTTTTTTTGCACGTGTATATTTAAGCTCATATTCTGACAAGTTAAGACTAATAACCTTTAATAGTGAGGTAACTGACTTGACCACTTGCTTTTGAACTCTGCTACTTTGCTAGGTCTTCCTCCTCTTCAGCTCACTTAAGGGTTATCACAGCTTCTTCTGTCATACCAGTCAGCTCCATATCCTCCTTCACTACAACCATGATTGTTCACTTCAGCAGCTCCATATTCAACATCCATCATCCATTATAGCCACTATCCTTCTACTCCACATCTCAACCCTGCCGCTCTGACTTTCTTCCTTCATGTCACTGTTACACCTGTCTCCTTCTCGTTCACACACGTTTTGCTTGACTGACTTTATTTCTCTTCTCTCCAGAGCATACTTCCACCTCTCCAGGCTCTCTTCCACCTGCTTGCTACAGATCACATTATTGTCTGCAAACATCACCTGCCTGACCTGCCTGTCAACCTTTTCACCCCCCCTGCAAAGAATCAGAATCTGAATAATTTATTAAGGAAATTATGAATAATGTAGGAAGAAATGTCTCAGAACTGTCTCCTTGTGTAATCGCACCTCCACCATGAACCTATCTATCACTCATACCGCACATCTGACCTCGGTGTCCCCATACAGATCCTGCATCACCCTCAAATACTTCTCTTCCTCTCCAGACTCCTACAGTATCTGCTATTTGCCACAGTTCTTCTCTTGGCACCCTATCATATATTTTCTGTGGATCCACAAAGACACAGAGCAACTCCTTTGACCCTTCTCTGTACCTCTCCATCAACTCTCCATATAAAATAAATATTGCATATGGTCTCTTTGCATGAACCCATAATCCTCTATTCTTAACCTAGCTTCATCAACTTTATCCCTCTGTAGTTGCCACAGCTCAGCACGGCACCCTTGTTTTTGAAAATCTGTATCAGTACACTTCTTCTCTGTTCTTCAGGCATCCTCTCACTCTGTGGTAAACAATCTGGCTAAAAAGTCCACTACCCTCTCTCCTATACCTTTCCATACCTCCATACCTCTTCTCAACACACTCTTCACTCATTAGTGACCTTAATCATCCTAACCTGCTGCACATCCTTTCCAATCTCTTTGACACAGCCAATCGATACAAACATTTGTGCTTCCTTATTTTTCTTAGTACTTCAAATACAAGTAATATCAACCAGCCTCTGCCACCTCTCTCTCTCTGTTGTACTGCCAGTACCTGTGTCTACGTTCTTTATCTCCCTGACCCACTTTTTCTTAGCATACTTTGAACTTTTTCCTGTACTTCCTCATTCCACCACCAAGTCTCCTGGTTTTCTGAGGATACAACAAACACCTTCTTTTGAGTTTCCCTCAACACTTTAGCTAGCACTTCATTCGCTTCCTCTACTTGATTTCCAGAGTCATCCTACAGACTACCATTCTATGCTGCCTAGCTACATTCTCATCTAACACCACCTACCCCACATTTGCTGAGTGTCCATCAGACTATCTGAGCCCACAATTAGTAGGTTATGTCAATATTTTCTTCTTGCTTTTGAGATTTCTTTACAAGGAATTATTGTAATACTGTAAATTTTGAGAGCAACAGGTACATAATAAGTAATTACAGTAGGTAAGCACATATATTTCCTCATTTCCATAAACTTACCTATGTTGTTTCCATCATAATCCACATCTTCTCCCTCCCCTATGTCCAGCTCTCGGGTATCCAGGCTTTCCACCAGATCTGCCATCTTAATACCGTCGTGTATGTCTTGAGCCGCTCTGCTGTCAGAATCTACAGAGTTCACCAGGTTGAGGTTACTGGTAGCAGTCTGAGCCTTACTCCTCATGCTTAGCAGTCAGACCCTGGAGCAGGGCACACCTAGAAGAGAGATCAGATGTATGACCATTTCCTGAGAGTACATGTACTCCCACAGAGCAGGAGAGTCTGGTGACATTTAATCTTCCAGTGACCTTACTGTGACTTTCCTTTTTATCATGTGAATCAGATAAGAACTGCAAGGAATACAAACCCCAAAACAGACACATATAATGTAAATGTGTATTTCAGCTTGTGCTGAAAATCAACAGAAAGGTAAATAAATGTATTCTTATTTACCAACAGCTAAGCTTTAGAAGAAGCGTAAATCATGTCCAAGCGAACACCAATGTATCTTAGTGTCTTAGCAGCTTTTGAGCACCGCAGGTAGACATTTACTGTTCACTTCTCTCCTGAAGTCCTCTGAATAAAATAATGATAATAAATCATTATTTAGACTCACTCTATAAGACCTGTGTCCACTAATTTTCAGTGCAGTTCTTGTGTTATTTGGCATACACCAGCCTCTTCTAAGCCCTTCATACCTAACCCTTTCCAATGAGCTTTCAGTGAACAACTGAGGGGTCAGAGGTTCCTTTTTCTTAAAGACATGATTTTCACATACTCTTAATCTGCTAGAGAATTTTTTTATTGTCTGTCACTTCATTTGTCCTCCACCCGTCCAGTTTCCTAGATATTTTAAGAACACATCACACATGCAGTGTTATATGACTGGCATGGCTTATATCTCTTTGGGAATCACATTTTTGCTGCAGAAATACTCTTCTATTCTATATAAAGTGCCAAACAATACAATTAAAAATATATAAATATAAAGAAACACATAGAAATGAGAGGCAGACTTCTGCACAATACCATATCTATACTTTTACTGTATGTGCAGTCCTACTCACAGCACTATTTAGTCACCTCTAATGACCTTTTTGGAAGAGTCAACCTTTGCGATGTTTCTCCATCTGTTTATTATACAACCTGCTGGTCACCTGCTGGTCACTACTCCTGGAGACTATAAAAAAATTTAGTTTTTATATTTTAATGAAACATGTGCACAACAAATGACCTAATTTTTCAGCAATACAGTAATAAGATTGTGTATTTTGAATGTTTGTTTTTTTTTCAGGACGGGGTATAGCACTTAAACTACTATTGTTTTTTTCTTTAACCTCCTAAGACCAGAACTCTTCCACAGCATGCATTTAATTTCTCTTTGATATTTGGGCATATTGGGGCCCGATGAATGTTAAAACAAAGAATTACCAGATTTTTCTTTTACCTTATTTTTGTTTTTAAGAAAAATAAGAGCCACATATGAGGATATTCGTTTAAAAATTTGATAGAACAGTAGCAGTATAGTGATATAAGTGGATATCAGGCCCTTGTAGAGCAAAATTTAGTATTTTGATCTAAATAACCCAAAATGTGATGTCCACATATGTGGACGCCAGGTCCTATTAAGGAAATCACTTGTAAAGTTCTGCCTGAATTAGTTCAATGGGACCAATAAGTTAATGTAGAAAAAAAAAAAAAAACACCCTTCCACTCCCTAAACTACTCCTTTAAAAGATTCATGCGAAATAAAACATGTGTAGTCATGTTGTGGTTTGTGACTTCAGAGACCTTGTGAGTAGAAATCAACTTTGAATCAGACACAATCATCAAATGAAAAAAAATCAGCTGATGCCTTTCATTCTATCAAAATCAGAAAATATGCTCATATTTCTAAATTATTGGTCACTTATCATATATTGGTCATATATGATACACTTGCACACTACTCTGCACAGAAAAAAAATATTTAATTCACTGAATGGGCTACAAACAAATATTTTCTAATAAAATGTTTCTGAAATAAAGCAAAACAAAATACACTGAATTATCAAAAGCAGGCAAACCAGATTTTTATGTAAAAATCTGTGGAAATTGATGTTTTTTGTGATAAATATACAAAAGCTCAGAATCTGCTGAAGTCAAAGGCAGTGCAGTTCAAAAACAGGTAGGTTTTGGTAGACTATAAAAATATAGTATAGAATAGTATTAAAGACTAATAATTAGTTTAGACTAATAATTATGTAGATATTGTGCTCAGGTCTCTCTTTTACTTTCAACTTTACCTCAACACAGAGAGTTCTGACACAGTTTTGTGTACCAAACAATTATTGAGACACCAAAACCTGCTAAACCCGTCACAAACATTATTTCTCACTTTTGCTACACTTTGCTTCACTGTAAATCCAATATTTGCTCTTAAGGTATAAAATATCTTCCTTTATATTTCTAGATAGAAACAAAAGTATTTGGTTCTTTTTAAAAATGATCTTCACTAGAATGTGATACAGTTTGCTCAAGAGCTTTGTAAGAAGGCTTGTTAGTTTCAGACAACAGATGCCCCTGCCATAAAAAAGACAAGAAAATGTGTTGACATTTTGATTTTTTTTCATTAAGGGCAGGTAAAAAGTCATCATTAATCTGAAAAACATCCAGACAGAAAACCTGATTTGGTTTTACAGAAACAAAGTTTCGAGAGACAGCAGTTAAACAACAATGACTGAAAAACAATAAAAATAAAAGTTCAAACAGAAGAAAATAGGACAGAATCTGTTTTGCCTATGGCTTTTCATGATTCAGCAGTGTTGGTAACAACACTCAAAACACACACGCCCAGAGAAACAGAATAACGTCAACTGGTTCTTTAGAGCATGTGAGAAAAAATGAAACCACTTCCTGCATTTCATTAAAAAAAAAAGAAAAGAAAGAAACTGTGTATGAGTCTTTTTAATCTCCCACAATTAACTGCAGTTTAGCATTAGGCTGACACCTATGTGGTCAAGTTTGAAAGAGGAAATGATCTTCTGACTTTCTTCTGACTAGCACCAAATTCTTCCAGAGCAAAAACTACTTAAAATGCCACTAGCACGTACGCTAAGAGATAAAGAGATGACAGTAAACATTCCCACTCTAGAGAACAAGATCCAACATGCTCGAAGCATCAAAAGAGTCACCAACTGCCTCAAGTGACTGTTTGTCTGCTTGGATTCTGTTGTCCTTGTGAACTTTTATTCGCTCCATTTATTCATAAAAGTGAATGAATGAGTTTTGATTAGTTTCCTATTTAAAATAAAGCTATTCCTATTAAATATAATTTCTTTGATATTTGGGCTTGATTTGGTTCAGTTTGGTTACTATTATAGCTACTTAAATTTTCATTGACTGTCACATTGTCACGTCTGCTGTGACAGATGTGTGGAGTGGAGAGAGAGTGTGGACCCAAATGCTGACGCAGAAAGTGATGGACTTAAAGTGAGCCTTTATTACAGCCAAGCAAAATACAAACAAAAGCAAAGGAGAGAATGACTAAGCTAAAAAAAAACTACAAACAAGTATAAAGAAACTAAAGACCTGAGAACCTGGGGCTTGGAGAAGTGGAACATGGAGAACTGCGGTGAATGACACACAGACGATCCAGCAACAAAAAGAGGAAGACAAAGGGCTTAAATACACAGAGAGATAATGAAGGAATGAGACACAGGAGGAGAGCACAGCTGGGAGTAATCCCATATGAGGCCGGGAGAAGGCAAAACTGAAAACACATAGGACGCAAGATTGTCAAAGTCAAACAGGAAACAAGAGACATTCACAAAGACACAGACTTGACACTGAGGCCTGGAGATACGAATGACTGGAGAGACACAGGAGATGCACAAACATAGATGACATTAAACATGGAACACGGGAAGGCTTCGTAACAGAAACCTAAAGACTAGAAACTAAGGATATAACACACACAGAGAACAATAAGAAGAACCAAACCCATGAATAACACTAACTCAAAGAATACAGACTAATCAGAAAACACAGCACTGAATCACAGACCCAGTATCTTGACACACATAGCCCCAATATTCATTTGAACTCACATTACTACGCAAAGCATGTTAACTGAGTCAGCACTGGCTATAAAAAGCTCACTTTGCATGGCTTCATTCTGCACAAAGCAACAGTGTGGAATGAGAAATAGCCCACCGACATGAATGGTTTTACATCTACAAAGCATCGACTATAGATAAGTGTATAGTGTAAACTGTGCCCACTGTTTCACGATTATTATAAACACAATAAAATTCCTTGTTAAAAAGTAATTGCTCCCTGTGTTAAATCATGAATTAACCACATTTTTTGGAAAGCTAGGTTCAGTTTCACTAACCACATCCAGCTATAGTTACTGTCAGTCCTGTTGAATTAAGAAATTACTTATATACAACTTGTCTGACCAAATGTAGTATGCTAAAAGATCAACACCAACAAATGGACAAAACTATGAACAATAATGAACCTTCCCAGGAAAGGCTGGCCAACCAAAATTATTCCAAGAGTGCATCAATGACTCATCTTGTATGTCACGAATTGCCATAATTGACTAACCACGAATTCTGCTCTCTATCAGAAAATCCTGAAGGAGAATGTCCGGCCGTCGGTTCATGCCCCGAAGCTATAGCATACTTGGGTTATACTGCAGAATAATAGTCCTAAATACACCAGGAAGGAAAAAGAAAATAAAGGTTTTGGAATGGCCTGTCAAAAACCAGACTTAAATCTGATTACACAGCACATTCACACTCATAAACCAGCGGGGATAAATTAAAGCATTTCTGTCAAGAAGAGAGGCCAAAATTCCTCAACTGTGAGGTGGAGGAGTCATTGCCAGTCACAAAAATTTATGACCGTACTTCTTGCTACCAGGATTAGCACAACCAGCTATTCAATTTGAGAGACAAACTACATTTACTGGGTTATCTTTGTTTAACATTAAAATTTGTTTTATCACAAAACTTTAAGTGTGGGAAATGTACAAAACAAATGAATCAGGAAGGGGCAAATACCTTTTTCACGGCACTGTATATCTGTTAGAAAGTAGTACTTTTTTATGATTAAATATTTTATGCTGCCTATAGCTGTATTTCCTGCTCTGAGAATGTCCATGACCTCCCAAAAACCTTGACCCACAGAGAGGTTAACAAGAATGTCAAAAAGTGTGTGTGTAGACT